AACATGGGTCATGGAGCAAGTTAGAGATGGGCCTGACTGATGGACTCCACTCCGTCTGCTGTGTCCTTGGGGCTGGGACTCTGCCTGGTGTGGGGGAGGTCACATTCTCAGAGAGAGGCAGACTCACAGGGCATGGCAACTCACCTGTGCACGTGCAGTCCCCGGGGGACATCCAGCACCAGTGTTCCTGCCAGGGAAGGGAGAGGTTCTGACAGGAGGATTTCCAGAACAGGGTTTTGAAGGATGAAGAGAGAATAGGTGGTCAGATCAAGGGAGGCCATTCATCTGGGGCCGAGCATGGCAGGGAGCCGAGGTGTATGGGAGTGGGGATGGAGGTGGGAAATGCCCCATTGTCTTCCCATTGACAGCATTTGCCAGTTCCTGAACAATCCCCACAGGTCAGTGGATGTGTGGTCAACACTCCCCGACACTAGACCGTATGAAGAGCCCCACCTCTCATGTTGTAGAGAACACTGAGGAAGGGGAATCTGGGGGCTGCAGAATCAGGGTCCGAACCTTTGCCATGCCTGACGGACCCCAAAGCCTGCCCCTTTCAACACCACTCTGGCTGCGGGGTGTGGACTTGACCCTGTAGGCATTAGGGAGCCACGGGAGAGGCCTGAGCAGAGGAGTGTGAAGGCCCCCTGGGGGGCAGGCCCTGGGGGGTCAGGCCCTGGGGGGGCAGGCCCAAGGGGGGCTGTAGGGCTAGAAGCTGGGAGATCTGCAAGGCTGTTGCTGGATCCGGAAAGAGACAAAGGTTGGGGAGTAACAGAAGAAGGGGCAGCTTTGCGGGAGAAAGGACCCTTGTCAGAAAGCATCTCCCCCGCCCCGCCCCCCCCCAGTATGAAATAACGCTCACAGCATTACTTGTTGGGTGCTGGGCGCTTTGCAGGGGTTACCGCATCCAACTGACACACAGCCTATGAAGTGGGTGCTAGGTTCCTCAGGGTTCCTCCGGCTAGCCGGAACCTCTGGGTTCAGATCCCAGCCGGGACACGGTAGCTGATCACCTTCGGCAAAAGCTCCTGACCCTCCTTGCATGTCTTTGTGTGTCAGATGGGTAGATAATGATAGGAGCCCTCTCGGAGGGCAGCTAGGAGGATAGGATACATTCATTTCTGTAGAGCTCCCAGTAAACATGCTGGAAACATTTGCCACTATCTTTCTGTCTTGCAAACGGGGAAACTGAGGCTGGGTAGCCCAATGGGACTGACTCTCCAGGGGTAGAGCAGAGCTGTGATGTGAGCAGGCTGCCTGGCGTTAGAGCTGCTTCTCTTGACCATGACCTTGTGTGATTAGTCCCCCTCCCCACATCCCGCCCCAAGATGCTAGGGGTGGACATTTGGAAAACCCCAGAGGCAACTTTGAGTTCATGGGGGGTCCATGGGAGGGGAAGGAGGAGAACTGGTCAGTGGTGGGAGCTGGCTTGGAGGCCCCCTCTGACCCTGTCCTGGGAGGCCCTGGCTTTTCCCTTGGTGCCCGGGTGTGGAGCGGGGAGGGCGGCTGGCTGGGGGGATTGTTTTCAGCTCTGTCTGGGCCCCACCTCCGGCTCGGCTCCGGGACGGCCGGCTGGCGGCGCGGGGCGTCACACTCCCTCCTGTCTCCCCATTCTCGTCTGCAGGGTGGAGGCGGCCAAGATTCGAAAAGGCCCCAAAATAAATGGACCTCTTATCTGATCTCCCAGCCTGGCCTGTTATCTGATCATTACATAATGGCCAGGCCTGTGGCCTCTCCCGCTGACGGCATGGAGGAGGTGGCCCCAGGCTGCCCCGGCAATCCGGGAGGAACTGGGGTTCCTGGAAGTCTGGGGAGGGGGGGCTGGGGAAAGCCCAAGGGAAAGAGAGAGGCCCAGGGCTAATCTGCAGGCCAGCCCTGGGTCTCTGGGGAGGAGCGGATCTAAGGCAGAGCTGGTACCCGGGGGCAGTGAGTGGGGCTGCAGGGGCGTCAAGCCTGCCATTTGTGCGTGGCTGGACCAGGTGACAGCCCAGGAGTCTGTGTTCCCTGATAGAAGGGGACCGGAGGGCCTGGAGGGGAGAAACCAGCCGGCAAGGGAGGCAACCTTCTCCTGGAGTTCAGTCGCATGAGAAAGATGGGTGACCTTCTTCCCAGAGGTCCCCACCTGGACTCTGCCCCTTCCCATCCTATCACCTATCACACCTGAGTCTTCCGTCCTGACTGGGTTCTAGGTTTCATGACCGTCACCATAACTGCAGTTGCTGTTGAGTTGATGTCGGTACGTGCGGACCCTGACCGTGTGCGTCAGAGTAGAGCTGTGCCGAGAGGGTTTTCACTGGCTGGTTTGCCAGGCCTTTCTTCTGAGGGCCTTGGGGGGGGGATTCCGATGCCCCTCCTTTCAGTTAGTAGCTGGACAGGTTCTCTGTTTAAAGCCCCCGGCGACTCGATCAGACCACGTTCCAGGGGCTTCAGAAAGTTTCTAGGGAAATCTCACCGTCTTTTCATGCCATTCTTCCATAAGCTGTTTGAAGCCCTCTCGCACAGTCAGGAGTCCTGATGGCCTAGTGGTCAGCAAGGTCGGCAGTTCGAAACCACCATTGCTTCTTGGGAGAAGAAGAGGCTTTCTACTCCCACAAATAGTTCCAGCTCGGGAAGCCACTGGGGCAGTTCTACCCTGTCGTGGAGGGTTACCGAGAGTCCGCGTGGACTCGCGGCCGGGGCTTGGGTTGGGTTTGCTCAGTTAATCACAGCAATCATTATCTGGTGGAGTCCTCCCAATACATTGCAAGGTGAGTTCTACTCTCATTTTTACAAATGAAGAAATCGAGGCCCCAAGGGGTGGCATTTTTCACCCAGGCCTCCTAACTAGTAAATGTTGAGCCTGACATTCAAACTTAGGCTGGCCTGGCCCCCCAAGAATTTTCTTGGGAGAAGAAAGAGAGAGAGAGAGAGAAAGGAAGAAAGAAAGGATTTGCTGGGATTAAAACAAAAACAAACAAACAAAAAATATATATATACATATAAAACATATATGTAATAAACACTTTCTCTTTGATCGATCTATCGTGGATGCTGACCGCAGGGACATGAATTGTGCTTGCCAGGCTGTGCCATCATTACCACTATTTATTTCAAAATCTTCCACCGTCCCACGTCTAACCGAATGCCGTGTTGCCCTGGCAAATCTCAGGACAGAGACGGGCTTATAGAGGGCCGGGGCCTCTGTGTGGTTACAGACCTGCGTGGATCTTATCTGCCCTCGAGATGGGGCTGGTGAGGGGTGCTGCCGTGGTGAGGGGTCATCTTCTGTCCTTGCCTGGGGCCTGAACCCCACAAGGGGGTGGACAAGGCGGGAAGAAGGCAAGCTGAGGCACAAGAAAGTCTAGGGTGAGGAAGGAGCCTCCCTGCCCCCTCCTCTGAACTGGCGTCAGGTCGCTTGCTCCGCACCCATCTTTGATCTCCAAGAAAACAGGAAGGGAGCGCGACATGATGGAGACACAGACTTCCAAACAGTCTCCCCTTCCCTGTCCTCCTTCCCTCCTCTGGAGGCCCCCCTCGCTCCCCCGGCACATTCCTGAGGACGAGGTGTAGGGCCTCATTTCCTCTTCCTCTTCTGCTGGGTCGGGGTGAAATTCCAATGCCTTCTCTCAGGATTGGTGTTTCCGGGCGCCCAGTGCCCGGTGGGCTTTATGGCCTCCTGCTGCAGCTTCCCTTCCAAAGTGGGCTGGCCTTTTGGCTCACCCTGTCCCCAGAGCCAGGAATCTCACAGCCCTCTTCGAATGACAGGGCCACTCTTCCCAGAATCCATGAGGCACAAGACGGGAAGCTTCACTTCCACATCTCAGTTCCAGCCTCCCGTTGGAGGGATCCCCACTCGGAAGCTTGGCTTTGCATGTGGGCCCCACCACATCATCAAGGCTGCCTGATGCAATGAAAAGATGCCCAGTTCAATTCAAATTTCAGATAAGCAATGAATATACATACATATACATACATATAGATAGATATAGATTTTTAGTAGTGAATATTTTCTTTTCTTTTTTTTAAGAATTAAATGATACACTTTATTTATTTTTTAATCATTTTATTAGGGGCTCATACGACTCTTATCACAATCCATACATACATCAATTGTGTTAAGCACATTTGTACATTCATTGCCCTCGTGAATATTTTCTCAGTATAAATATGTCCCCAGATAAGAGTCGTATGAGCCCCTAATAAAACGATAAAAGAAAGAAAAAAATATGCCCCCCATATTGCATGAGATATGCCTACAGGAAACAAGCATGTATTGCTTATCTGGAATCAAACTGAACTGGTCACGCTTGCATCTGTCACCCTACCGTGGTCAGGAGCATAGTAAGTAGTAATGTGACCTTGGGCACGAAACGTTTCCCCTTTGAGCCTCCATTTCTTCATCTGGGGGATGGACACACCGCTAGTGTCTGACTTAGAGCACAGTCAAGCTACGATGCATGGCACTTACACCGGTCTGGCTTTTCTTTGGTTGGGGTGGGGGGCGTGGACACCTTGGCACCGGTAGGATGGACCGCAGAGGGGTCGCAGCACGCAATTTGCTGATGTCATTTCTCTGTGTTCATGCAAAGAAGGTGTCAACGTGTGAAGTTTTCAGACCCCACGGCTGATACAGGCACGAATCGTGAAAACAACAACACAACAACACAAAGATAGCTGACTTATGTCAGAAACAACCTCAGACCGAGCTGTCGGGACGGAACCCCGAACCCTGTCGTGCTGGTGGCTGGGGCACTTCTGTTACAGGTGCGATCGGGTCAGAGGGACTCCACAGGACCTCCCTCCTAGAACTTTCCCCAAGGGTCTCCAGCCGCCCATGTCTGTCTTCTCTGGCATCCTGCTGGTGGATTTCAATTGCTGACCTTTCTCTTGCCACCCACACCCTTAACCACTGTGTCCCCGGACTCCTTCATGGGGAGGCTGCCCGGGTTATACCTGTGAGGATGCAGCCCTTGTCCTCATCATTCTCCGGCCCGGTCCTCTCACCAGCTCTACTTTCCCAACAGGTCTGGCAGAACCCATCCACTGTGACCTACAGCCTGTGGACCCCAAGAGAGGAGAGGTGACATACACCACAAGCCAGGTCACCGAGGGCTGTGTGGCCCGCGTCCCCAACACTACCCTGGAAGTTCATGTCCTCTTCCTGGAGTTCCCAAGGGTGAGTGTCCCCTGGACAGGTCAGGTGGGAGCCCAGGGCCGTCTCAAGGCCACTGGAATGAAGAGAGCCTTCCCAGTGCTGTCCCTGGGAGCAGTGGGCATCTCAAAGGGCCGAAGGAGCTGTGACATTTTTGGGGGGTGAGGGCTGGGCAGGGTCTGGGGCCGGGACAATGTTCTGGATGCCAGAGTGGGAGGGAAGGGCTGTGCAGTGGAGCAAAAGAGCCAGGCAGATGACAGAGGGCATCAGGTGAGCCTCTGCTGGCCTCCCGATAATGGAGCATGTGCCACCCCCCAGGAGACCCGGCCCCACGGCAGGGCAGCTGAGACTCAGGGAGAGGACGCCCCTCAAGGGAGCCCACCCCTTCCTCCCTGGATGGCCCCCAGGGAACACGCCCAGCCTCAGGGACTGCAGCGGCAGCCCACAAGGTCGTTCTCCCCCGTGCCAGCCCACTTGAGGCCCAACATCCACTTGTCTGCGGCTGCCTTGTAATAGCCCATTGATTGAGCTCACGCTGTGGGCTAGGAACTGCGCCTGCCTGACGTTGTGCCGGGAATTGCGTGACGCCTCCCAAGGGCCACTTGGCAGTGTCTATCATCATTATAATGGAGGGAAACTGAGGCTGGCCAAGACAGGCGAGGGAACCGCCAACGCCAGATTGAGAACCCCAGAGCCAGGCTGTGCCCCGGCCCCACGGAGAATCTCAGAGCTCACGTGGGATCTGGCTGTCCCTGGCTGGAGGCCGCACCACTCAGCGTGGCATTGGCTCAGGGTAGCTTTGTGGTCAACCTGCCTTCAAAACTGTTAAACTGCCCTACGTTTGTGGGGTGATAAGGAGGTGCCAAGACCACCAATATCGGGGGGCCTTGCTCCCCACCGCCCTGCCGACTTGGAGGACTGTAGACTTTGATAACCCCAAACCACAGATAGCGCCGAACACATGCTCAGTGGTTTCTTCATTTTTTTTCACATTTGGTAATGCCGTGAAAAACACGATTCCTCTCAGGAAGTTTTCTGTCTCTTTCTGACGCTCCGGTCCCTCTGCCTCCTTTGTTGGGGCTGGGATCACCCACCCTCATCTTTCAACAGCTAGCCAAAGCACACAGAGAGGCGCAGCACCTACCCCAGTGGGCACCCAGGTCCATGGGGACAGGTGCGCAGGCAGCCAGGATCCAGGGTACAAATGCACCTGGGGGTGGTGTGGGGGCACCTGGCAGGACAATCTGGCTTCTCTGGGTCTGGGGTTAGCACTAGAGCAAGCAACACCTGCAAGGGCAGCAGGGACTCAGCCATTATTACAGGAAGAGAAGGGGGCCGTGTGGAAGAGCCTAAGACATGGTTTAGACAGAGGCAGAGGAGGAGGGGCCTCAGTAGGGTTGGCAGGGCTGGAACGATGGGAGAGCCCCTCTCCTCTGGCCCCATTTAAGGAGCGTGACCTTTATCCTGGGACCACTGGCAATGGGCTTTAGGCAGAGGCATAGCTGGGCACCATTAAAAACATCTTTTCCTTTCGTTGTGATCGCGAATATGAGTACACGCCAAGACTGCGCACCGATTCAGCAGTTCCAACGTGTACAATTCCGTGACAGGGATGGCATTCGAGTTGTGCAGACATCCTTGCCCCCGGTTCTGACTGGGTCTCCCCCATCAGCACCGACTCCTTGCCTCCAGGGTTTCCAAGCTCGCCTCCCAACTTGTGGTTGTCAATTTGGTCCTCTCTCTATCCTGCTTTTAACAAACACCATGCCCAAGGCAGACCTCGTCTACTAATTAAGCTAAACTATTGTCAGACATAAGAAACCCTGACTGACATAGTGGTTACTGGTTGGGCTGTTGCCACCTAGAGTGAAGGCCAGCAGTTCGAGACCACCCGCCACTCCATGGGAGAAAGGTGGGGCTTTCTGCTCCCGTGGGGAGTTAACGTTCTAGGAAACTCACAGAGGGAGTTCTACCATCGGCCTTGACTCAGTGACAGCGAGTGTTTTGCTTCTTATTGTTTGATGTAAGGGGCCTGGCGGTGTGGTGGTTACAGGCTGGGCTGCTAACCACAAGGTCTAAGGTTTGAAACCACCCGCTTCTCGAAGGGAGGGAAGGGAGGCTCTCTATTCCCTAACGAGTTACAGACGCAGAAACCCACAGGCCCAGTTCTGCTCGTCCCACAGGGTCGCCGGCGTCAGAACAGACTCTGTAGCAGTGAGTTTGGTTGTGATCTGTTATTGTTGGACCGAACCAAGGCTTTAGGGGGTATTTTTGGTTTAAATGATTATCTCAGGGGAGTAATTGCAGGGCCTCCTCCGGCCCATATGGCTTCAGAAAGTCTGATCCCATGAGCATGTGGAATTCTCCTATCGAAGGTGGACACTTTTGTTGTTGTTGTTTTGTGTTGGGTTGACACATGTCTGACATCGCCATCCCTCATGCCACGACCCCTGAATCTGCGTCACCCTCTGCCATTCCGGATAGCTCAGTCCACGGACCAGAGCATCCACCTTCCGATCCAAGGAGCCAGCCTTCAGGATTCAGGACTGCCGGGGACATTTGTTTGAGGAGGTGGTGCAGAGAGTGGTAGAGTCCCCTCCCCAGCTGTCACCGGGGTGCCCACACAACAGCTGCTCCTCCCACTCTCGGATAGACACATTTCTTATCTAAGAATCCCGGGGTCTTTGAGTCTGCTCCATCACCTGGCACAGGCTAAGGTGCTGGTTGGACCGATGAGATTATGAATGAGTGAAAGTGGGCACTGCTGCCGGGCCCAGACCAGGACCTCCGGAACCAGACAGGACCCCTTTTGGATTTGGGCTCCCCCACAGACATCACCAGGAGCAGCCACTCCACTGAGCCCTGGTCTCTATGCTGGAGAAAATGGCGTGAGAACAGTATCTATCTCCTGGGCTTGCCTCGAGACTGCAGTGGGATAGTGCAGCCCACCCTGGGAGCCCAGGCCGTACACGGGAGCTGCAGTGGTTTTATTTTCACGTCTCTCTGGGATCCAGGTCTCACCCATCACTCCCTGTGGGCCGACGAATTTGATCCTCAGAGATGATCAGCGGTATACAGATGCGGAGGAGCCCTGGTGGCGCAGGGGTGATGCTTTCGGCTGCTACCCACAAGGCCAACAGTTCAAAACCACCAGGTGCTCCACGGGAGAAAGACAGGGATTTCTACTCCTGCTAAGAGTTGCCGTTTGGAAACTCCCAGGGGCGGCTCTATCCTGTCCTGTAGGGTCACCCGCCGTGAGTCAGAATCGGCTCCATGGCACTGAGTTTGATTTGGCTTAGGCAAATGAGGCAGGGGCCATTTTCAGAGAGGCCAACCAAAGCCCATCCCAGGGTGGTCACTGCCTGATGCAGGGTGTGGGGTTGTGCAAGACGGAGCCGGTCCGCCCCCCGCCCCCCCCCACCAGGTTAGTCTCCCAGCCTCCTGAACAAAAGGGCTGACTGCTGTGACCACGGAAGTCCCAAGATTCCTCTAAGAGACATCTTCCTCCCCAGGCAGTCACCCCCAATCAGCCCTTACCAGGCGCCTGCTCCCTGCCCAGCCAGCCTGGCTTGGACAGGCCAGCGTGAGGGCTGAAGTGGTAAGAGGACAGCCACCCCTGGGTCCCTGCAGCAGAGCCACCGAGCTAGCAATAGGCGCAGAGCCAAGCAAGCACGGGGGTGCAGGGAGAGGCGCTCAGTGGTCAGCAGTGGTCAGCAGCACACAGAGGGGAGAAGGGCCTCCCAGGAAGGGCCACCAGAGGAAAGCAGGGCTGGCAATGGGGGCAAGATGTGGGGGTGGAGTGGGGCTGGCTCAGCTCCCGACCTATGGCCGCCTTCTGCAAAGCCTGGCAGCAGAGAAACAGCTTTCCCCGCTCATCCCAGTGAGCTCAAATCCTCCGATTTCCTGTGGGTGGCGACAGAGGGGCTATGGCAGCCAAGTCTTGGGCGAAAGAGATTCAGAGCCCTGTGTGTGTTGGGGAGGTTTGCAGACAGAGGAGGGGGCTGCCGGACAGGGGCTCTATCTCGATGGGTCCCCGAAGGGCAGGCAGGAGCCTGGATTCCGGGAGGGGGCCCAGGGTCACATCCTGACCCACAGACAGGAAACCGGCAGGGTGTCTCAGAGATTCCTGTCAAGCCAAGCGCTCTGATCCTTGCCCTCTCCCCTCCTCCCTCAGCTGGTCAGCTTCGGCAGAGCTGGGGCAACCACTGATTCAGCCTGCTCCGAGGGAAATTGGGGGAAGCCGCCAACACCCCACCCACCCCTAGGCAGACAGAGGCGGCCAGTCTGGTACTGACTCACTGCTGGACGGAGGGGTTGTGGACAGCAGTGTGATGTGGGCAAGGGGCTCCTCTCCGCCCCTCTGGCACTGCACCCTGCCCTGGCCATGAGGAAACCGAGCACCAGGGAGTGTGCCCACCAGGATGCCATGACCAGATGTGCTCCTGTCCAAGTCAGCTCTGCCCCACGCTCTTGGCGACCTCCTCCCTCCTCCCCATCTCTGGAGCCTGGGCATCCTCGGGAAGACGGGGCGAGGAGAGAGTGGGAGGGAGTGAAAACCAACTTAGAACCCATTGCCATCAAGTTGATTCAGGCTCACAGCGACTGTCGGTGGGGCTTTCTGAGGCTGTAAGTCTTTATGGGAGCAGGCAGGTTCAACCCTCGGAGCAGCTGGTGGGTTTGAACTGCCTGCCTTGCGGTGAGCAGTTTGGTAGCCCAGTGTTACCGAAAACTCACCCTCTCTGCCATCGAGTAGAATCCAACCCGTAGGACAGGGTAGACCTGCCCTCATGGGCTTCTAAGACTAAAACTCTTTGCAGGTGTAGAAAGCCTCATCTTTGTTCCACAGAGCGGCTGGTGACCGTGAGGGGAGCAGCCCGATGCCTATAATCCGTTACTCCACCGGGGCTCCATCCAGGAAGCCCAAAACCCAAGCCCAAACTCAACCCCAACCCATAGCGACCTACAAGACAGAGGGCCTGCTCTGGTGGGTGTCCTAAGCTGTCAATATTGAAGGGAGTAGACAG